AAATAAGACAAACCATTTTAGAGCTGTTCCTGTAATCCCAATATCAAGTTCAAGAAATGTGATACTTTTTCAGCTACAAGTTCATTTAAAAGCTCACAGTCTTTTAAAATGAGTTAAATACAACCTCAGATAAACTAAACATGACAAACTAATGATTAAATTAAAGACATGCTTGGTTTGTGTTTTGACTRACAAGGACCTGTCAGGAATATATTAAAAATAATGTTTTCATTTTACTTCAATATTTGGGAGATGGGCAGGTAGATATGGAAAGAGATGGTGAGAGTGAGGGGAAGTTAAGTTTCAGTAATTAAACAAAAAATGAATCAAAATAAGAAAAAGACCAAGTTGTTTTGGGCACATTTAAAAATCTTTAAAACTTTGCATTAATGTTCACGATAACATTTGACATCTTGTCAATTAGTTCAGTTGTTCTTAACAGGAGTTGTGTTTGTTGGCTTTTTATAGCTGTATTTTATACACGTTTGTTTTCCTCACTCATCAACTGTTTCAAACACACAGAAAAATTATGTTTCTAACAAACTCAAAGTGATGAGCTACATGTCCACAGAGTCTTTAAAYATTAAAAAAGCTCACATTTTCTCTGATCATTTTTGACAAGAACAACTTTTAGCACCAACGAAAGCTTCTGGGCTTTGTCCTTCTACTTGATCTTTTTGTTCATAGGCCTAAATCTGAGATAAATGGCAACTGTCAACTAAAAATAAATTAATCTAATCTAAGGATTCCTGTGTTGTAATTACATTAAACCTTACAATTAAACTTTAATTTGGCCACTACAGAAGTGCATAAATAAACAAAGTGACCTTGCGTTTCAAAAATGTGTGTGGAGAACACAGACACACACGTCTCAGGGTTTTTTCCTCACTTGTGGACAGCACGCTGTAACCGACCCAATTAAAGAGAATAAGCAACACCTGTGCTGGTCAGCGCGGCTGTCAGTTGTTGATGAGTTGTGTTCAGCTTTCTGCTCTCAAACACACCGGAGCATTCATGACCTCAGAGGACAGTTCACTGACTTTGTTTATTCTAATTTAACTTGTACACACACACACACACACACACGCACGCACGCACGCACGCAAACACGCACGCACGCACACGCACACACACACACACACACACACACAGAAGTTTGTTTTCATATCCCTGTTAGGACTGTTCATTGACTTCCATTCATTTCCAGTTAATTCTGTAGTCTAACACTGACCGTGACCCTAAACCTAACTAACCTCAGCCCCTCCCAATTCACACCTTAGTCCTAAACTTAACCTTTAACCTAAAGAAGGAGTTCCACTATAACGGGACAAGAATTTGGTCTCCAAAAGAGTTCCTGGTCCTGACAAAGTGTTTATACCAGAAATGGTCCTAAAAAGGTAACAAAAGCCAGGTAAACACTAGGGATGTGAATCACTAGCTTCATCATAATACAGTATTATTTTGATTTGTTTGGATGATGAYRTGYTTSTCAATATCACAAAATCTGTCATGATACAATTTGATTCAATCCAATTCATC